CTGACTACATTATCCATGCTTGATGCTTTCAGAGGAGGGCTGTCCGATTGATCCATGACCCTTCTCTAGCGGACAGTCTCGGAACCCTTTTGCACCAACGAGGCGTCAGCGATCTAGCTCTTTTCTGTTGCTACGCCAACGGGCTTTGCTCCTGAGAACTGTTCGCAATGATGCCGCGGCGCGATGGGCCTGTCAAACAGACCCGCCTGATTTCGGCCTCCTATCCTAATCGAGTTGAACATCCTACATCCAGAACTGGCCGATACGACCGCTCCTCTGTCCCTGTGGTACCGAGACAAAATTGGATTAGCAAAGTTTCCTTAAGCTCCTCATGGCAGCCGCAGTGCCCTGGTATTTATGCTTCTGCCTAAGCCGCTGCTTCGATATAAAACAAATAACGAGTTATAGTTGTCATTATCCATTTCTCACTCGTACTCAGATATTTAGAAATAAAAAAATTACTCGACAAACTGGCATATAAAGTTACCTGCATCTTCGTTTGAAATGACATTCATTATTCACCTAGGTATTTTTTGATATGGTAACACCCTGTATGGGTGGTTAGGTATGCTATCAGCTTTCTGCCAAATAGTTATCAATTTTGTTTACATCTATGGTATTTTTCATGGCAGAATAGCAGCTGGTTATCTAGTGATATTTCGAAATTCCCATATCTATAAGTGAGACATAATTCTGAGGAATCCGTCATTGCCAGATCCGCACGGGGACCACGTATCTTGAAAAGTGACAGTATGCCGATTTTTTTTGACATTATGTAGGTTTTTCTACAAGATATTAAGTTAGCACTTAGTTGTACGTGTTGCCTAAACGTCATGAGGCTTGTTATCTATCTTTGGCTCTGATGTGATGTAAAATCTGCTTCTGAGATGGCATTACTGGAGGTCTAAGCTGTAAGTTGTATGTGTTAATTAATGATAATGACATTTGGCTCAAATACACTTAATTGAGATTCAAAGCTAGAAATTAGTTGCGCATCCACTTTTTCTTATCTATTCTGGAAATTACATATACAAATTTGCTGAATTTAAAAAATGAGAAAAATAAATATTTATATTCACTGTACACTGTCGAATTACAAGCCATATACATGCTAAAAGTAATTACACACAACGCGGGCGCGGTCATTATTTCCTTTAATTCTCCTCAGTTTTTCGTAATTTATAACTTAGAACATAACCTCTCTTCAGAAAGCACAACATAAAAATAACCCGTCGGGCACCGCCAATAGATATACTTTATTAGCAGTATATTCAGTAATGATTTTCTCACACAGCATATATCACTGATTTTATACACATGCAGACCAATAATACACATAATCATCCAGATGCGATCTTGCTAATCAGCCAACTTTCTACTCAGATATAAAAACTACAGACAAGAACCATTTGGTCTCACAAAACATAGGCAACCAATAGTGCGTTTAGTTTAGTTGAATGATTCCTCCTTAGATGGACGATCACAACGATCCTAGTGAGCAAACGTGGAATAACTGTTTGCGCATTAAAAACTACCTAGTTTGCAAGATGACATCTTATAGATTTTTTTTACGTTTTATAGGTTTTTTACATGATACCCATGCCGGAGATGCTAAATATTTATTTTGTAGTTGCGAACAACTTTTTTTCATTTAGAAAAGTTCCTTTGCATAAAAAAACGCTACAAGTCAAATGGCTAGACCCGATCCATTATTGCCAAAGTTACAGACTAATACAATAATGTCAGTTGCTGATTAGCTGTTCACATCAGTAGACGTCAAAACGAAATGTATACTCGTGAAAATATTCGATATGTTTCGCGAAGTTTATAGAATACTAGAAAATGATTTTCACTTGTTAGTAGGATATACAAAGGAGACTGGAGTGGTAAATTTATGTAAGTTAAGGATAAGTAAGCTTTGTGAGTTTTTGAGCGAATAAAACGTGAACAATCGAGAAATATTCCATTTCAACTACAAGAAGAGACCATTCATGATAATACCTTTATTTGTCTAGGAATATAAATGCTTTTTTTCATTAGGGCATTAAGGCACAATACTTTTCAATAAAGCGCCGCCAAAATGTGCCCCGTCATGTGCCACCATATATGTCAGAAATTTAAATGATCTGCAACAGGTTGCGGTACATGCACAGAGGACAACAATGTACCTTGCAAGTGCGGCGCGCAACATGCAGATATTGTGTAATATGTGACTGACACACGTGCCTCTAACTTGTCGAAGTGGGAACATGCCTTTAGCTGACATTGTACGATGGTCCTTCTGTCCTTTCTTTTGTGGCGGTATATATTTAGATGACTCATTTGAAAATAATTACGTATCTAATGTGTGCTTTTATCGTTTTCTCTGGGAAAGGTCAGTATCATTTATTACGCATTGTTTTATTTTCTCGCAATGTATATGTATATATATAGATGAGTTGCATTTGTGTAAAATGATGGTCATTTCTGTTAAACTGTTTGATCGAACGCTATTGAGGTTAATTGCTGGTTAAAATCGTGGTGTCGACTGTTCGTGCATTTTGCCACCTACTTCTAGGAATGCATCTACAGTTTTATTAAAAACCCACGTAAACAAATTTAATGCATTTTAGTCCAGTTCAGGTAGGGTCACACGTGTCGAGTATGCTATTATTGAAAATATCACTCCTTTCAAAACAAATAACAACAAAACGTCATATTACAAAATATAACAGTTTATCATTGCTATATATTACATACATACATTTATTTGGTGCTGGCCTGAGAAGGAGTGTATAGCGAGTGTTTCAAATTCGACTCTCACCATCTCGGAGACGGTAAGAGATACGAAGTCGGTTAAATCTGAGCAAAGTTTCCTATTTAGGTAATTATGAAAATGACATTTATAAACTTTACGCAGGTGAATAGGGTTTTTAATTCTGATTCTAAAAATGTATATTGTCATACATTCACATTGTCAAACCAAAGTTAGTAAATTAATTAATTTAAAAAAATGACAGTTTATTACAGCGTTATTTCATTAAATCACTATTTAACAATTTGACCATTTATCGACTATAAGAAGCGTTATTTTAGGGCGATGAGACGCTTCCTGAAAAAAGAAATAAGCGAAGTGTCACCTGGAAGAGAGATAAGTTAAATGTATTGTCAAAAAGTAGTATTTGTACTGTTGACGGTTACCTTTGAGACCGAAACGTTTAAAATAAAGAATACATTATGTTTGATTGGCCAGACAAAGATGGGGGATTATCGTCATGAAAACCATAGAAGTTTCAGATTTAATAAATATTGCCAAAGGATGCAATCATCACAATTTCACAACACACAAACTTAAGAATCTGGAAATTGAATACAGCATTGTGTTTGTCAAAGAGATTTTTCTGAAGATGAGGTAGAGTTATTGAATAACCACTCAATCTTGTATGTGTCTTTTATTTATATAAAATTTTCTTCAAATTAAAGGATACAGTTTTATGAACAACTGAAACACGTTATTAACTTATTTAGTTCTTTTCAAAGTAGCTATAACTCTTACATCCAAGGTTTTCACCCCATATTTGCAGACACTTCACTTCGCACCTAACACAGGTCATTTTTCACACTGACTGAAAAGGAGTCTTCTGTGGTACTCCCTCGTTTTCGGGAATATGAGTCCTGATGTGCTGGCTCGAACTCCACCAGAATCAATATATTAGGGATCTTCCATCAAACTTCCTAGATGTTTTTGCAGTAAGGTAACTTGATGATGTCTTGACTGGTCGTAATTTTCAACTCAATACTAACATCAACTATGTAACAAAATATAGTTGCGAGGTAAATTTTGACGTTTTGGTCTCAACCACATACAAGGTTGTTTGAATTACGACGTGATAATGACTTGAGGAGATAAAAGTAACACTGTAACAGTATTTTGGTATGGAACTATACCAATATTTTCGATTTGTCTTCCGTTTTTTGTTGCCATACTGACTGGAGTATATTGAGCGATGACCGACTGTCATGCAGGTCGATGCAGATGTAATTGGTTCTTAATAATTTATGCGAGGGAACACATTTTTCATGCTTTCCAGTATTCTCATTTGTTAGGAGTGTTTTGGTGATTGGATCAAAACAACTATATAGAGTAAGGTCATTTTTTATCATTTTTCAGTACAATACAGTCCATGCTCCAATTTCTTTTGTTATTTCCACTGATTATATCGGTTACTTTCAACAATGAATTTCTGACAATCCCGAACTACCAGTTACAGTCGAATCAACGAATTCAGACTAGGTAAAAGGAGCAAGTCTGTAATTCGTTTGTTTCCAAAATCTCATTGTCTGTAGTCAGGGTGAAAGTTTATACTACTTGCAAGTCGATCTAACTTAGGCCGCTAGTTTGACAGTGGTTGACATTTCATAAAAATTCATATTTTTCTGCGTATACCTACATATAAAATTGCGTGGGTTCCACACAGTTTTAGTGTTCCAGACAATTGTCAAAAATGGTGAATGTGGAGTGCAAAAAACTGAATAATCGATCGATAAGTGTTGATATATTATAGTCATCCGCATTGCGAAAGGGCACGCGCCTAAACGTTGGGCGTCTACCTGGACAGTTGTGAAGTAATTTTGATTTATTTCCACATCTTGTTTCTTTGAGTGCTTAGTACGAATCTAAGGTTTCTTAACAAAATTGTATACCTGCAGGAGAAATATATATTTTAGCAGTATTTGGATATTAGGAGTGCTCTGCAATGCTTTTGTAAATGATGAAACAACTGTTTTTATATCTACACATATATTTTTTTAAATTTCATGATCGTCAAATGTACCACCTGTTTCGCTTAACCTTCAGTTTGTGATACTCCGTATATGATGGTTCTCTCAATATTTCATCAAGTAGATTGACTCAGTACTCATGAAGCATTGATATACAAGAGTCAGTGACTGCGAGTTTAACTCTTCCATCTTAGGTAGCCATAGATTTTGAAAATCAAACGATTAGACTCATCTCTTACCTTTGAAATCCCCAACGAAGGCATAGGAAGTATAGAGGCAATCTAATTGACGCTATTTTTTCATTTATCCCACTAACAAACAGAAAACACGTAAGTGGCTGATTGATTTTCTTTCAAATCCTTTACACCACGTTGTTAATGGATCGTTTTGTGGTTACAGTTAAAATCTTTAAGGCTTGTTCCTGCTCACCAGCTAGGCGCTATCAAGTCGAAATACATGTCAACAGTACTGAGTCGCGATGTAGCCATTCACTACATAATATGATAAGCTGACATTGAAAAACTAGGAAAAGTATGTAATTTAGTGTGCACCTGAACTTTAACTGCATGTGTAACTGTGTACCTATACGTCGTATATTTATACTAGATGCTATTATTGCACCAAGGTAACTGTGTAATAAGAAATAATGGAATTTGTATGCGGATATCGTAATACTTCCCACGTATAGTGTACCAGACATCTAAATTATCCTTCACGAATGAGAAAGAAATAGTTCATGTAACCCTCAAGAAAGTTCGAGAGCACACAAGAATCTAAGTACCGATTGGTATCCATCCACACAACAGACAGTGCCTTACCAGAGAAACATTCACTGAGAACAAAATTTGTTTGTCCTGAAATTGAACATAGTATCAGAATTTTGAATCAGAAGAGGAACGAATCAAGCAGTGAACAATGTACAGAGAGAAGTCAGCTTTGACTACAAAATAGCGGACATTTTGAACATCTTCTATGGCTTATTTCTGCTTATTTAAGATTATTATTGTTATTACCATCAATAAAATTTTCGTTTTGTGTTCAGGTTTTACTACACCTTTTTATTTCCTTATAATTTACATCCCACGACAAATTCTTATCCAACTAACTAAATACAGCACTGAATTTAGAAATTAAATGTCCAACAAAAAAATCCAGTTAGGGCCCACGTGAAAAAACAAATTTGGTGATGGAAGTCGGAAGAAGAAATCTCGAATTGAAAATTTTAATACGCCATCTTGTAGAGAAGAATAAGTGACAATGAAAATATTCAATTTATTTTGAATTCCTGTCCCAAATGAAGCCAGGAAAAAATAAAAAATATTTTGGGATAAATCTGGAACATGCGAAACAAAAACAAATTTTTAAGGTCTACCTAGACAATTCTACTTTTTTAGAAATAACTTAGATTTGGCATGTCAACAATAACGTATTAAAATTTTTTGGAACCACAATTAAAAACTCTATTCATCTATGCAAAAATCCAATATGGCATCCATAATAATAAATAAAGTGGCAATGTTAATGTGCAATTTATTTGTAAATCCCACTACAAATAAAGTCAGGAAAAAAATTAAATCGACTGCGAAAATTCTTTTTTGCTGTCTTTCCCCGAAAGTACTTTGAATATCGAACCTTTCTAAGCGGCATTTGGTTAATTACCTAAATACGCAGCTTTGCCCCCATTTAAGCGACTTCGGATTCTTTAAAGTTTCAGAGATCCTAGTGGCGAGGATCGAATTTGAAACATCAGGCATCATGTTCGCTGATTTATGCTGTAAGTCTGCGTCATTTCCCAAGTCTGAGCCGACGTCAAAAAAAAAGTTTGCTGGACCAACCGCAAATTTCTGAATATTTCATATATTTGGAAACTTCTTAATATTTGGTGATCTGTATATTTAAAATAATTGTATAAGTGATATAAATGAGTATTAAAAAAAATATTTAAAATAAAAATAAAAAATCACTAATATTCCATTCATAGACAATTTATATTTACGGATATATGTATAATTATCTTGCAATTCAATTGTTATTCGGATAATTATGTAGGTAACAATTTATTCCAATAATGCCCAACTCTGTACTAGACAGACACAGAGCATAGCCAGGAAGTTTTTCCTTATACGGGATTCGAACCCGCCAGCTCGTGATAAAGACTTTTAATAAAACAAAACGCGTTATATGAATACATTTTACAAGCGCTCTTATTTTTCGATTATTTTGTCCTTTGTGCTGACATGGGATAAATGATCTAGCATAACATCTTGTATTTTTCTAACAATTTTGATGCACTTGGATCTAGCGGAACTCTAGTTATTAGAGAGTACCATTTTATAATCTTCATAAAAATTAATAGTCATGGTTATCAAACGTGGTTAAATTTAGCACATATCTCTGATATTATTACTATAATAACTGAGGTAAAACTGACGCAGTGTAACAAATGGAATAGCAAACGTATACACCAGCAAGAAAAAATTGAACAATTAAGCGTTGAAACGAAAATTATTATTTGTATAAACATAAAACGCACGTTCGGTGAATTAACTATCATTACTTACGATTAAACTGGAAATACTACTGAACACGTTGACTGCCACCTTTTTTCGGTTGGTTTTAGCCAGGAGCCAATTAGTTGTATAATGGTTAATTTGTTATTTTGGTAGTATAACTTCGTAAAATCAGTTATTGAGGTATTTTCGTAAATTTTTTTTAATTAGATTTTTTGCGGCTCTTCTAAGAGCCGACGGCACTGACTTACAAATCGGTTTCCTGTGTGCCAGCTGGCGCTTATAAGAGTCGGAAGATAATTATTTGTTTTTTATAATAGAAATAAACTAAAAGCAAAAAAAAAACATTTATTATCGACCGTTAACAAAAATACAATATTAAAAATAATTTTTGTAACGCAAAATAGTAGAGAACATATAAAAGTATAACAAAAGCTTCTCCGGTACATGAATTTCTGGTGAATGCAGACTATTTTTAATAATGTCACTGCACTCCAAGCAAAATCCTGGAACATCAGGGAATGTTCTACATTCGTACATCGTTTCGGTACGGATTCCCTTCTTGCTACAAGACTGGCATCTTTTTCTGGATACTTGTTTTTTACCATCTGAATCACGTTTTACTAATTTGTGCCCTTGAGTGCCTGCAGTATTGTACCTTAGCTCTGATAAGAGGCAGCGGCACCGGCAAACATCTTGCGTTGACTCTTATAAGAGCCAGCGGCAGCGAACGTGTTAAACAAAAAGATATTTTACAATTCAAAGTTGAACATTTATATCCCGAACAAAAATCTTCCCTGTTGGCCAGTGCTGAGGTTTCTTGTTTCTGTCTATTGGAAAAGCGTTTTGCGAAGCTTAGTTATATCAAAAATTCTATATTGTGTCTCATTAGTTTCCATGTTTAGATCAAATCACAGCGAAGCGGCTACCAAAAATGCAAAACAATTGTTACTGTGTAAAAATGAAAAAAATGCTAATACACTTCAAGAAGCATTTTGATATTATGAGCTGCTTAAACGTCGCTGGACTTTTCAAGTATAACTTACTCCTACTCCTGTACACGAAATTAAAATGAATAGAAAGTCATTATATTTGCAAAATAAACTTATACCTCGCTTAAATATAGTGTTACCAAACCTCACAACAAGACAGCTTTATTTAACATATCTTTCAAATTCACCGTAGCTTTATACAACTCTATTCCAAAAAACCTAAAACCGTTGTATTTAGATAGGTTTGAATATCATTTGAAATATCACCGTTTGCATAAATAAGTGTATTTTTTGTATATGTATGTGAAGTACAGCTAGATGAGCTAAACTTTGCCCTTTAATTATATATGCATTATAAATAAAGACTATTACTATAGATAACAGTCATTCCACGTTGTGAGCGTCCATCTATGGAGGAATGACTCAACTACACGCATTGTTGGTTGCGTAGGTTGCGTATATGTTGTGAAGCCGAGTATTCTGTACTTTTCATCTTCGAGTAGAAAGTTGGTTGAATAGCAAGATCGCATCTGGATGATTGGATATGCTGCCAATGAAGTATATCTATAAGCTATGCCCGACGGGTTATTTATATGTTGTCGTTTCTGAAGAAAGGTTTTGTTCAAAGTTATAAATTACGATTTTTTACGTTTTTTTGTGTTTTTAAAAAGAATTACGGGAAATGACCACCTCGTCCCAGTTGTGTGTAATTACTGTTAGCATGTATATGACTTGTAATTCGAAAGTGTACAGTGACTGGCTGGGCATCTAATTTCTAGCTTCGAAACTCAAGTAAGTGTATTTGAGACAAGAATCCAATGTAATTATCATCAACACATATTATTAACACATAAATCCTCACTATGCACCTACGCATTGCCGTTTCCTTCTAGCTATAGTATACAATTTACAGCCTAGATCTCCAGTAATGCCATCTCTGAAACAGATGTTACATCAGAGCCAAACATTGGTAACTGAAACCTCATGATGCAACACCTAACTACAAAACGATTTCACAAGTGTCCATCAGCTAGTGTTATGTTAACATCTTGTAGAAAAACCTACATAATGTCACAAAAAAACCAATACAATGTCAAAAAAGCGACATAATGTCACTTTTCAAGATACGTAATACCCGTGCCGGGCGCGTTCACTAGAAATGAAAATGTCTACGACATGTTGCGCATGTTCCGCGCCTCGATCACTTAACGCAGTTTTGTCGCGGGCAACATGTTGCAGAACAAACGTAGGAAGAAACTAGAAGTTTGATCGCTTAGTTGTAAAACACCCTGTATTAATAATTACCAGAAATGTTAAAATAAAGCAATGTAAAAGTTCAATACTAGAAACCATTTCAGTGACATATGCAGAAGAGGCAGCCTAAAATTTCTTGTTAGATTGTTTATCAGACGGCAACAGTAATTTAGAATTTTCTGCAAACGTTTTATTGTATATTGTTCTAGCGGGATAATATTTTTAATGGGCATACAATAAAGAATTTTGGAAATTACAAGACCTTCACATAAAAGGTTTATTGAGAAACTTGGTCAAAACGTTTCATCAAAGAGCACCCCGAGGTTTTTTACACTGTCTGGAAATTTCAACTGTGATTTATTGATACAAAATTTCCTTAAAAAATTTCGTTTTTGGCCAGAATAAAATTGATAAGGTTTGGTCATTTAGGCGTTTTTGGTGTTTAAGAGCATTGTCCTCCGCATAGATTGCTTCTAGATCCTTGTTTATACACCTTGTATAATTATTGGGGTGAAACGATAGATACACTTGGGTATCGTCGGCGTAGATCACTATTTTATAATTTGGTCAAATTTGAGGTATATAATGTGAATAGTATCTAGTAGCCCTAAGATAGAACCTTGTAGTACGCCAGATTTTATTAGCCCCTGTGATGAAATTTTGTCGTCTACCAAATAAGTAGTCACAGTCATCTCAGAAAGTCCTAAGAAATTCAATTTTGATAACAATAATGCTTCGTTTAATTTCAGCAAAGTTTAAGAGGGACTTACTTGATGATCGAAAATCTTCGGTTATAAAACACACTGA